TTTACAGCGTGAGCCTGCCAGAGAAGAAGGTGAAAACAGTGACCCAGATGGAGCCCTTCGGTTGGGAGACTGACAGAAGTGGGGCTCTGAAGATGCCGACTTGGCAGCACCAGCTGGAGGAAGAACTGGAACAGCCGAAGGAAGCCGCTTGCTTCAAGGCTCGACCAAACACCACCGTCTCCCAGGAGCCCTTGATTCCCAAGAAAGAGAAGAAAAACACAGCCGTCTGGAAATCTTTGCGGCTGGCCGCAGAGAAGAGAGCCCAGGCGCGCCAGGAGCTGGAAAGGAGAATGGCTGAGCTCCAAGCCCAGAAAGCCCGGCGCTTGGAGGAGTCGCGGCAGCAGGCGGAGGAGCGGCAGCAGGCGGAGCTGGCCCAGCTGCGGAAGGAGCTGGTCCACAAGGCCAACCCAATACGTAAGTATCAGGCTGTGGCGGTCAAGTCAAGTGACCAGCCTCTGACCGCGCCCGTGTCTCCCAAGTTCTCCGCCCGATGCCACTGCTGAGCTCGGGGAGTGAGGTGCCTCCTGGGACCGGGAGCTGCTCTGCATTTCCGCCAAGAGCCTTCTTCACTGCCACGGGCACGGGCGTGGCAGACATTGTTACCTCCTCTGGCCTGACAGTGCTCACCTATCTAGGACCGACTGTGTCTTGGTTTCCTTAAAGCCTGCATTGGCTCTAATAGAATTTGCATTCTCTGACTAGAATTTAGTCACAATATAATCTACTGTCCCTTTTAAAAAAATCCGGTTTGTTGTGGAAATAAAGATAGTTAAGTGCCCCCCAAAAATCATTCCCACTTCATTTCCTTTCTATTTTTTGTTTCCATTGGGTTTACCAGTTTGCGAAGAATAGGAGCATCGGATGCCTAGAGATGAAATAACATGCGAGGGTGTGTAGTGATGTCTGGGTGAGGTGGCGGTGGGTGGCTGGCGGAGTTGGGGAGGGTGAGGGGACTTGCGGAGTAAAGAATGAAGGATGGTGGGGACCGAGCACTAGAACTGAAGGTTATTACACAAGGCATTTTAAAGGCAATTTAATCATGGTGAGAAAATACACAATGTGGTGAAATCGATTGTGGTAATGTGGCAATTTTTTTTGAGATGATTGAACTATTGAATTGTGGGAATATGTGGGATTTGTGGCTTCAATGGCCCAAAAGGTGTTCAAAAAGAGAAGATCTCCATCATGAAAACTATCTAAGTAAATAAACTATGCACGAAAGATTCAACCAAACCAAAACAAACCAACCCCAAACGAGGTAGTGCCGATGTGCTCAATCTCTTTCTTTGCGAAGCAAACAGAGGTGGACCTGAAAGGGCCTTGGGTTTTGAGCGCGGTGAGGCTGAAGGACAATTTCCTTGGAGCTGGTGTAGTGGGCGGTGGCCTTGGTGGCCTTGGTGCCCTGGGCCACGCGCTTAGCCAGCTGTCCAGATGGCAGCAGGTGCAAGGTCGCCTGGATGCCCCATGCCGTGATGTTTGAGCGCTGCTTGGAATGTGCCAGTTGAGATGCCTGGTGGGCGATGTGCCCGAAGGTGTCGTTGATCAACGAGTTCACGACGCACATCACCCTAGACAGATGCTGGAGTCCGCGTGGACCTGCTTGAGCACCTTGCGCACATACACGGAGTAGGTGACCTTGCTGCTTGTCTGGCATTTCTTGCTGTGCTTCCTCTGAGCCTTAGCTGCAGCTTCCTTGGGGCCCCTCCCCTGGCAGGCAGGGGCTTA